GTTGCAAGGTTTTCGGACGCGTTCTCTCTTCCTCCCAAGCATTGCACCCATTGGACCTGCACTCCTTTTTCCCTTGCACTCGTTCTCGCACACGCTTCTCATTCTGGGTTCTTCTCTTTCTCCTTTCTACGCGTTCTATGTCCCATCTACGTTGCAAGGTTTTCGGACGCGTTCAGGCACGCATTTTTTCTCTTCCCTAGCATTTCTTTGTTGCGCCTGTTTTCAAACACGTTTTTTTTCCTTGCATGTGTTTAGAGACTCCGTACAAGAATATTCGTAAGACGTTACGTTACGTTAAATATAAAACTTAAAATATTTAATAGTCTTTTTTTACCGTTTTTACCTAATAAGTGAGAGAGGTCAATAATAATCCTTACGTTATGGATTATTTTGTGACCTAAGCTTATTTATAAATAAGGGCTTAAGTTTTAGGTTTATAGGAAACAGGTGAAAATAGTATAAAAATATTACAAAATATATATTTAAATTTATTAAAATTTATTAAAATTAAAAAAGTACAATTTTTTAAAAAAATATTTAAAATAAAAAAAAATTATTCGCAACGTCTGTATGGACCGCCCCCAAAATGGCGAGGGCCGCTGTCCCTGTCGTTGTCGATGCTGATGCCGCCGTGTCTGTCACCACCTCTCCTGGCGTCGCCGCTGCCACCGGCGTCGCAGACCTCTCTCTATAAAACAATTATAAAAATTATTATAAATATACCATCTTTGTGGATGATTCACTAATCGCAGTTTTACATATCTCACTTATTCCCACAGTAAATAATGGCGGTATGCCATCATATTCGACGGGATCCTCCATGTACCGGAGTACTTCTCGCTTGTACTCCTCGGGATTTACAGTTTCCTCAGGGATGGTCAGTGTTATTCCGAACCCGATAATGTCTTACATGTCATCAGACAGCACGTTCGTGTCGTCGAACACGGGATAAGAGTGAGCCATGTTCACTACGCAAATCTCAACGATCAACTGAGACTTCGACAAGCAGGAACAGACGAAAAGCAAAGGAGACACATTATAAAAAATGTGAAAATAAAACATGTCTTGTCCTTGAAGTTAATGTCGTCAAGCAGGAATACGCGAAGAGCACAAATGCACATTATAAAAAAATATCTTTGAAGATGACGCGCTATATATTACCTGTTAGATAGTACCTAATAACCGAGTTTTATATTCTTTACCTTCGATACAGGAGCAATCGGGCCGTATCAAAAAATCCTCCCGTTACACGATCCACATTTCAAATCTTTTAGTAGCTATTATAGGCGGATTCTAACTCAGGAACTCCAAGGGGTGGTGAGGGGCAGGGGGGTCCGCGG